ATGTAAATGCCATCCGCTTCTCCTCCTTTGCTTTATTTCCAACATGTTTACTCCTGATCTAACAAGTACTAAAAGCTCTTGCAATCCAAAATCATCTGATAATACCCAATCATTTTCTAAAATGGAGGCAGTTGATCCGATAATACTTTGGTTCTCATCCATGCCTTTGAATAAGTTATTATTGATAGTATTAGGTAATAAATCACCGGTCATATCTCCGTTATTAATGGAGATATCATGTTGAAATTGTGAAGTTTGTGGTGGTTCATTTTTATCATTAATATTATTTTCTCGTCTGTTCCGAAGTGCAGAAGTAATGCTCGGAACATCGCCGTTTTCATACTGACCATCCTTAACCTTTTTCAATACTTGTACAATTTTATCATCCATTAATTCTTCACTACTTTGATTGATCATTAATTTCTCTAAAATATCAACCTCTTGTGTTGTACTTTTCCGTCTTTGTTTTTTAGCGTTAACTGTTAATGAATCTGCGGATTCATCGTCTTGGTCTAATTGCGATTGATCATTTGAGGGATCATTTATGTTCAATAATTCATCATCACCCCATACATCTTCAATGAGTTTACTAATATCAATCGTATCTCCTCCTGTTGAAATAAAAGAGTAACGTACTCTATTTCCAAAAACACGTGAACTCCGAATAGCACCCATGTCAGTAACAATATCGACACCTTGTTCTTGATTTTTCCGTGCAGAAATAATGGATTTTTGTTTTGCTTGACTATATTGACGTTGTTGTTCAATAAGTTGTTTTTTCGAAAATTCTTCCTCTTGATCTTTTAATTGTTGATTAGTTACTTCTATCATTCTAACATCTTGAGTATAACGTTTTACTTCTTCAACTGATGGCATTGCACGTTGCTGCCGTTCTTCTTGTCTTAAAAGTCTTAAAACAAATATAGACTCGTCAGGACGATAATCTAATGCCAAAGATGATTGTGAATCTATCGAATCCATTGAGAAATGACGAAGGTCCGGCGGTGATTGATAGACAGAAACTATGTTAGCATTCGGATCAATAAATTTTTCTGTACATCAAAATATATATTAGAATATATATTAGAATCGTTAGTTACTATTAATTTCAGGAAATATATACATATATATATATATATTTGCTTTTTACCTTCACCGTCGACTATAATCATAAGTTGATATCGTAATTTTTCATCCTCGTATATTCCACCATCATCAACAATGCCTTCGTTGATACCATTTTTGTCCAACGCCTTTTCTATAACCTGTCTAACGGTTGTATTTGCAGCTACGATCAAGGATTTTTCTTTAGGCTTTGCTTCTTCTTTCGATCGTCTTCTTGCAGCTTTTTCAGCAAGATGTTTAGGCACAGACATAGATACACGAGTCTCTGCTACTTTTGTTGGTCGAAGACGAACGGGTAAATCGTCGGGATAAATAAGGACACGAACACGTAATTTCTTTTCACCGATTTTTGTTTTTTTGTTTAAGCATAAACAAACAGTATTTGGACTATCATGTAATTGTAGTTTCCTGATTGTTTCATCATCTGAAAGATTTGAAGAAATAGAAGATCTCCGAACAGATGGTAATGGAATTGAATGAGATGAGGTTAATGAGGAGAAAGTTTCGAACGGACGTTGATCAGGCAGTAAACATTTTTCATCTTTATTTATTTCTTTTATGGAAATATAATAATTATCAAAATTTCCATCATCTAATTTAAACCGATGTATCGATTGTTTTATAAGTGATGTTGTAGTTGCATTTTTATTCAACAATATAACTTTATATTGGAAATTTGTTGACAAATTTCGACCAGCAAAAACGCGAAGAACGTAGTATTCATGAAGAACTTGACTGGGTGAATTTAGTGAATTTACTGGCGAATTTACTGGCGAATCAATACTGGGTCGAGAAGTATTGGTATTATTGTTTGTTTTAGATTGCGTAGCTTTTAGTACTTGTTAGATCAGGAGTAAACATGTTGGAAATAAAGCAAAGGAGGAGAAGCGGATGGCATTTACAT